TTGTTTACTACTTTTGTTTACTCCAGACCGTCACCCTCCGTCTTGCAAAAAGCATGATCTCACACCCACTAAAACTCCCCTCCACCTCAGTTCATACCAGCATTATCCCTTTCTGCAGCCACTTTTCCTCCTCCCTCCCCAAGATTTCCCCGCCAACACCAAGAGGAACAGGAAAAGAGGCGCCTTCTCTGCCCGAAAGCCAGCCAGAACCCCCCAAAGCGGCCAGTTAATGAGCTTCCCCACTTCAGTCAAGTGAAGCCTCTGCCAGGAGGGGGTGGGCGTAATCCAATCCGAATGGGAGCCAACAGCTGTCGCTCGTTCCCTGCTGGCTCTAGATTGTCCTGGGAACCGGCAAGTGTTAGCAAGAGAGGGCGGAAGACGCGCACCTTAGAGGGAACACTCATTTTACCGACCTCAGAAGGATGGAAGGTTGAATCAACCTTGAACCGGTGACATTTGAACTGCCAAACTGCAGTTAGCAGTCAGCTGAAGTAGTCTGCAGTATTGTACTCTAACCACTACACCACCTTGGCTCTTATTGCTGAGGATTGCCACAGAAAATTATAAAAAGATAATTCAACTTACAATTATTAGTTCAGCAACTGTTCAAAATTACAATTGTGCTAAAAGAATGATGGTTATGACCATAGTTCTTGGAGATCTGGCCATCCAGGCACCCCCTTGGATATCAGACCACAATCTGGGAGCTTGGCAACTGGCAAGACCCCATGATCTTTTGATTGCCATATGCAACTTTTCCTGCCAGCTTCCCAGGAAAGTAAGTGAAGAAGCTGACAGGGAAGATTGCAAGTCACTGAGGCAAGTCTCCCCCTCCTGTGCATCTTCTCCTGCCCTTCTGTACTGAAGCTGCATTGGCTAATTCGTGTACCTCCACATACCCTCCCTGAGCCTTGGCATGGCTCCCTTATTCACCTCCTCACATCCCTATGTGCCCTTCCCCAAGCCTTGCTGTGCTTCTTTGTGCTTTGTATTTTATGACTGCATTGCTTAACAGAAGTTCCAATGAGGACTACTTGAACAGTCTGTTAATGATTCTACACATTTATTCTCTCTTCTTAGTCCACAGGATCTGAAGAGATTATTGCTAAAAAACTAGCAGAAAAGTCTATAAATAAAGATCAAGCTGAATTTGATAAAGAAGTAAGTAACAGAAAATATTTGTTTTACATATTACTGGTATATTAAGCTGTTACCCTCCACAGACAAGTGACAATGAGCATGTGTGGCTTATAGTTTGAAACAAGTATGCAGAGGTGAAATCTAAAAACTTTCCCTACCGGTTCTGTGGGTGTGGCTTGGTGGGCATGGCCAAATCAATGTAACATCTTTGCCCTTATGACCTACAAAAAGAAAATATACCAATTATTTAGTGCATTTAATACTTAAATAAGAATAATAAATACTTATGTACGGATAGTTACATAAGAGCAATAAAAGTGTTGTTTCAATGCACCAATGATAATAGTGACCTACAAAAAGATATGCCATGATATACAAATTTAACCATTTAATACTTAAATAAGAATAAAAGAAGTACACAAAACAATAAAAGAGGTACTCAAATACTTATATAAAAGTATAAAGATTTCTCATTGGCACTCTCTTCGCTTCACTTTTCTTTTTAAACAGAACTTTTTTATTTTTCTTTAAAAAAAAACACAAATATGTCATCATTTGTCAATCATTAAGACATTGAAGTACATTTTTTTTTGTTGTGTGTGCCCCTCTTTTATGTCAGTCAATATGTAAATGAAAGCACAATTTACCTTTAAA